TACTCACCCACGAGTCCTCCGTCGAGCCCCGTTGTTCGCAGCTCTACGTACTCTCCGACAACACCAGCGTCACCTGATTACGCAGTGAATGCAGTAATTGGAGACGACGAGCATGTCCCTGTCTTGCAGACAGATGAAATTGAATGGCTTCTCGATAGTGGATCGCAAGTTAATCTGTGCGGAGATTTGACTTGTTTTTCGTATGTGGAGCATGGAACTTCCAGTAACGTGATGATGGCCTGCGGTCAGTCAGAAGTCATGCAAGTAAGCGGAAGTGTGGTGTTCCGTGTCGAAAACGGAGTCACGGGCAAGTGGGAGCCTCGCCGCCTGGACAATGTCCACTACTCTCCTAGTGCCCACGTGAACCTGATAAGCCTAGGGTACATGCGCGCCTGTGGGTTTAAGCTTGTCTTCAATGAAGACCAGAGCACTGCGTGGCTCTGCAAGGATGGGTTGGAGCTGCGCTTCGACCATCATGACCTGCTATACCGCCTGCGTGCGAAGCGGTCTGTGCGATTGGTCGGTGCTGTTGAAGAGCGCAAGGATGTGATGGGATTGCTGCACAATCGCCTTGGACACGTGAACATGAAGCTTATCAAGGAGTTGGCTAATGACAAGGCCGATTTTGGCTTTAACTTTAATATGCAGTCGTTGAAGGACTATGAATGCGTATCTTGTTTATCGGCTAAGTTCAAGCGTATCACTTACAAGCGTGGGCCACGGCGGCGGAAGAACCCGCTGGAAAAGCTATCTGTTGATCTCTGCGGCATCAATCAAGACACGGCAACTGGCGAAAAGATGTTCATGCTGGTAGTAGATGAGGCAATGCGATACAAGTGGTGTTATCTGCTAAAGCATAAAGACGAAGCAGCCAAGCTTATCGAAGAACTGGTATTGAGGCTCAACACTCAGTTCAAGCGTGCAGGACATTCAGTAACGTTGGTGCACTCAGATCAAGGTGGAGAATTCGTGAACACCTACCTGAAACGGTTCTGCTCGAGCAAGGGCATTGAATTTAAGCCTACGAATGCTTACTCCCCGGAAGAGAACGGGACTGTGGAACGGGCCAATGGTATAGTGCTTCCAAGGCTACGAGCAGTACTTTATGCAACCAATCTACCGAACCTGTTGTGGGGTGAAGCTACTCTACACATGTAGACACACTGAACCTCCTTCCGACATCTCCATTGAACGGGAAGTCGCCCCATGAACTGCTGTTCGGCACGGCACCGGTGCTGCGACACCTACGAGCCTGGGGTTGCTTGGTACATGCGTACGTACCTCCTGAGACCCGTCCAACGCGAGCAAAGCTGGACCCGCGGTCTGTGCTTTCGATTTTCCTGGGCTATAGTACTACTACGACTGGATACAAGTTGATGGGCCTGCAAACTGGCGCCGTGACTACTCGACGCAGTGGGAACGTATATTTTCATGAGAAGTTTACTGTTGCGAACGACTACATCCGTCAGCTACTGCTGAGCATGGATTTCAGTGGGGGCTATGAGCTTGTGAATGCGATCCCGGTGGTGCCTATCACATCTACACTTGAAGCCCGACTATTTCCCGAAGCAGGTAGCGCACCTGACGTGCCTGCGGCTACCAAATCAACCAATCTGCCTCCTGAAAAGGAAATCGGTGAGAATGCGGAGCCAGTGGGGGTTGTTGCAGCAACACCCGGAACGGAGTTGCAGCCAGCGGGTGTGACAAACAAGAAGAAGAAGCGAAAGCGGCAAGTCTCTTCAAGCAGTGAGCAGGACTCCAGCAACGAGTACCAGCCATGATGTACGAACTCACCTTCAGCGGAGGTACGAGGATCAAGCCCTCGCAGAGTGAGAAAGCTACCGGCTCGTCTCAATGACTATGTGGTCGGTTCTGTGATGAACACGACGACGGACATTCCAATTCCTAATACCTACAAGCAAGCGAAGGCGAGTAAGTATTGGCCGGAGTGGAAAGCAGCGATGGAGGACGAGCTGTCATCATTGCGCGCACATGGAACTTGGAAGCTTGTTGTACGAGCCAAGACCAATAGTCAGACTGTTATCACAAACCGATGGGTCTTTGCGGTCAAGAGAGATGCTGAAGGGTGAATCCAGCGGTTCAAAGCCCGGCTGGTGATCCATGGCTTCAAGCAGAAGTATGGAGTTGACTATGTGGAGACATTTGCGCCTGTCATTCGGTTTGAGACCATCAGAGCGGTCATCCTGTATGCTGTGAAGCGTGGCTGGCCTGTCTTACAGTATGACGTCAAGACTGCGCTCTTGTACGGTCTACTTTCTGAGCCCATTTACATGGAGCAGCCTGTGGGGCTCGAAGAAAACGGTGGGCAAATGATCTGCCAACTCATTAAGTCTCTCTACGGCTTGAAACAAGCACCTGCAGTATGGAACAAGACGTTGCATACACTACTTGAGAAGCTGGGTCTCACCCGTTTGGACAGTGACTATGGCCTATACGCTATGTACAACGACGACGGAGATGTGACGATGATTCTTAGTGTGTACGTGGATGACCTCCTGTTGATGGGACCGACAAATCTGTGTACCAAGATTGCAGAGAAGCTGAAAAATGCATTCACCTTGACGATCATGGGTGAAGTCAAGTTCCTGCTGGGCATTGAGATTACTATCGTCAGGGCGCCAAACAAAATCATGTATTACCAGCGGGCACACATCGACAAGATCCTAAAAGCCTACGGGATGCAGGATGCCTACGGATGCTGAACTCCACAGTCAACCAGCGAGTCGAAGGCTAACGTGAAAGCCGTTGCGCCTGGTATGAAACTACCGTACCGAGAGATTGTCGGGTCACTGCAGTAACATAGTGTCGGGATCGCGGCACATGCGGTACGCCATTTGGGCAAGTACCTGTCGTGCTTTGAGCACAAGCACTACCGTGAAGCCCAGCGGGTTCTCCGGTATCTGAAGCAGACACGTGATCATGCACTTCACATGGACGTTGTTTCGGGCAAGGACGTTGAAGTTACGGTGTAGACGGACAGTGATTACGCTAACGATCCGGATGAAGCCAAGTCTATCTCGGGCTACGTCACGTTTCTTGACGGCAATGTCGTGTCTTACGGATCCCGGAAGCAAGGGATTAACGCTCAGTCGAGCACAGAGGCTGAGTACATCGCTATGAATGAAGGGGTTAAGGACATAATATGGCTGGATGGTCTATTAGAGGAGCTACGGTGGTCTGCGGTGATAACCAAGCGGCCCTCTGTCCTACTGCAAAACCGGGAAAGCACTCAGCCACGAAACATATACAGAACAAATATTATTTGGTTCAACATTTAGTGGAGGACGAGCAACTACGAACTCTACATGTGCCTTCTGACGACAATACGGCTGACATCATGACCAAGCCGTTGGTAAACGCAAAATTCACAAAGTTTCGAAAGCAGTTGAAGGTGTTACCTGTACCAAGTCTAGCTACTGCTACTGCTACTGCTGAACATCAACACTAGCTACCAAATCCAGTGCAAACGTTCGAGCCACTTGCTAGGCTGATCATGCGGGTCAAGCCAGCTCGACGCGCGTTTCGAACGAGTGGGGTGTGAGGTACCAGAGTGTACCAGTGCCAGACTGCCAGCGAGCAGTGCTGGCACCGACGTGTAGCAGCGGCCACACGGTCGCGTACGCAATTGTACTCCATATTCCTCCTGCGATGGTGAGAGGCGCAGCCTCTCATGGCGGTTGCAACCGCCCAAGTCCTCAGTACCAGTACTTGCAGCTAGATAAGACAACAAGAGTGGTTAGCAACTGCTCACTAAATAAATCATGGGTCCCAAGGTTGAGAAGCGGGCTGCAACGCAGCTCTGCTCTCACTTCCAATCGTACCAGCGAGTACTCAAGCTCCTCACCTTGGTTGTTCCCGACGCGGCATTCTGCCAGGCAACTCCCTGCCTTCCACCTCGTATATCTTGCTCTTCCTTTAAGTATACGTGTTGCTGGATCCTACGTCACGCTGACGGTAACTACAAGGCACACAGCATGTCTCAGGTTATGAGTCTAACAACAGAAGCAAGCTAAGACAACAAACGTACCAGTGGTGCGGAGCAGCGACGCGAAGGAGACAGCCAGACCGCAACAGGAGCGATGCCCTCGGGGTCAAATAGCGCCGACTCTGAAGAAAAAGGAGGTTTGACTGAAAATTCTAATCCGACGATTTGTGACCATCACTCTCGGGTACCTGTGACAGTGAAGGATTCTGTATTTCCATTGGCAGAATCAAAAGATGGACAACGCTCATTGGCCAAACCCGCAGAAGAGAAGGAGACAGCAAACTGTCAGCTGACCGCTCGCTCATTGAAAGAACGATCGCCTTCTCCCCCAGTTCGACGAGAAGACACCTTTGGAAATAGCTCCGCGAGTCGCAGAAAAGCTGACACTGAACCTGAGGACAAAATGAATCGAGTAGCAGCCGTAGTGACCCTGCAGGTGGACAAAAAACACTCCAAGCCGGAGGAGTACCCCGCTTGGCGCCTACGAGTGCTTACAGGTCTAAACGTCTCAAACATAGCCCAGCTTGTCCTGGACAAGGAGCCCTTCAACAACGACTGGTCTTCTAGCGTGAATGACTGTTGGAATAGCAGATATCGCAAATCAAATGGCCTTCTTGTCTCGGCCATCTCTGATGAAACCCTTATCCGTTACCAGGGCGTGGTCAACCTGGCTGACCCTGTCGAGCTATGGCGGGTGTTAGCTGAGGATTCCGGCCAAGGGCGAGGGGTAACCACGGTGCTGATTTGGGAACGAATCTACGGCGCAGAGTGTTCGCCCAGATGAGCCCGTGCGAGACTACA